TAAATATATAATAGAATAAAAAAATATTAAAATTTTATATGACATAATTTATTTGACAAAAAAAATTGAAGAGAGTGAAATTAACATTTATTAAAAAACATTTTAGAAATTTATTAATTTATCACTGATATTTTCATTTATTAAAAATATTGAATAATGTGAAATAGATATTCAGAAAGATGTTTTTTTATTGATTTATTGATTTTATTAAAAACATTCAACAATGTGAAATAGATAGAAATTTGTTGATTTATCACTTATATTATAGTTTTTTTAAAAAAAATTTATGTTATTTATGAAATGGACATGTTATTAATTTTGAGTGAAAATGTGTAAAAGATACTAAAAGCCGTTGAATTTTAAATATGGTGTTATTTTTCCCAAATGCTATAAAATGATTAGACTATTTTAAATATTGATATAAAATAGAATGCCCAAAACTATACAAATAAAATATCGAGTATTAGTGATTTTTTTGGACAAACCTGTTTTTGTTATTTATAATTTTTTTAGAATTTATCTCATTATTAGATATTAATTTAATTGGACTGATATGTAACTTATGAAATTAAATTAAAAAAGATAGAATAAGAATAAGTGAGAATAAGGGTTGTATATGATTTTAAAATCAAACCAAACTGGATTAAATATATGATTCAGTTTGATTTTTAAAATCATTTCAGTAAATTTGATTTTTTTAAAATTAATTTTTATTTAGATTGATTCGGTTCAAAATCAGTTTACATTAATAATTTGTTTTTTTATTTGAAATCTATATTATCTCAAAATTGGTTAAAGCTAAACCAGTTATTGCTTGAAAATATTGTGTCTTCTTAAAGCTCATTGTATCGAAACTTTGAAAGAATTCCTAGAATACTTTTTAAGAAATTATACTCGCTCTCTTTTTTCTTTCTGAATATTTTTTGCATTATTCCAAAGATCTTGAATATTTTTTCCTCTCATAAAAGGACCACCGGTTTTTAAATTTTAAATTTAGGCTGGGTTTTAAGAATTAAACAGATTTAAATAGTAATTTGGATAATGAAAACTAGTTTATTTGCACACTCCTAGTGAGAAGTTTCTAAACATGCCACATCATCACAATACTTTTCTAATATTAACTCAAGTATAGATTTTAATCATTTTTTTGTTGACTTATTACATTACTAAACAATTGTGTATAATAAATAACAATAAAATACAACATTTTAAATACTATGTATAATGAACTTACAAGCTAAGAAAAAAGTAATAAAATGACTATAAATAAAAAATTAAAAAAACTCCAAAAATCTCTTTAAATTTACCTATAAATAACGTCTTGAATCTTCATCGAAACCACACAAATAAAATTCAACACTTCAAAAAGAACTCAGAAAGCTTAAAAAAAAACATATAATTTCAAAATGGGTTCAAAGAGTGTTTCATGCATTATTATTGTCATCTTTTTTCTAAACATCTTCTTCTCTGCTAGTCTCAGCTCTGCCCAAGTGCCAACATCAAAGAGTTGTCCTGATTTACGTGTTTGTGTTAATGTGTTGAAAGATTTGGTGTCTATTATAATTGGCGCTCCACAGTGCAAGCCATGTTGCCCCTTTATCGCTGGGCTTATCGATGTTGAAGCTCATGTGTGCCTTTGCACAGCTATCAAAGCTGATATTTTGGGAATAGACATTAATATTCCCATAAAAGTTTTACTCAATGTATGTGGACGAAAGGTCCCTGACGGTCCTATATGTTAACATAATGTACCATTGTCAAATAATATGGACAATTCTTATTATATTAGTCAAAAATAATGTATGACGATGTATATCGATGTGTTTTTGCATCGATGTTTCTTTTAATTTGATGTCAATGGTTTTATTATTTAAGTGGATTATATATTGTCTGACTGAAAAATTTAATAGTTTTCTTTTCAAATAAAAATTTAACAATGTTAAAACTATATATATTTAATCACGATCGTCTTTAAGGGGGTGTAATCCGATCTACACATAGGGCCTCTAGCTTTTTCTATATTATGCTATAATTAAAAAGATCTTTATACATAAGTTAAATAATACCTTTTGAGAAAATTTATCACTCAATTAAAGCTAATTTAAACTTCTTATTTATGGCTTCTCAAAAATTTGAGACGACTCTTATTTAATAATACTTTATGACAAAAGGCAATTCATATTAAATATCTTTAGAATAATGTAAAAAATATTTAATCGAGAATCTTTTAATTTAACCTAGATTTTGAAAGAGATTTTGATGTGAGGACTTTCTTCTTGCTTTGTATCTGCTGATGATAAAGTAGAGATTTTGAATCAATCAGAATTAAAGATTATGGAATCAGAAGTTCTGAAAAAAATTAGAATCGCATACCTTAAAGTCTAAGGTTTCCGAGAAACCATAACTCATGATTCTAGAGTCCATGATTATGAAGGATTCATAGTCAAAGGTTAAGAATTTTTCAAGACCTAAATCTTCTAAACCAAAAGTCTTTAATATTTCAAGCTTCACTACTCAAAGGCTAAGGTACAAGGTCAAAAAAGAACTTTCAGAACTAACTCCAAAGGATCCATCAGATTATGGGTACCTAAATGTAAAACTGTTTTTACCACATATATGCTTAAAGGGAGGATCAAAGTGTTAGGCACTGACGACTTATCTAGAGGGGGTTGAATATATCCCTAAGTAAAAATTACCTTTCAAAATAGGTAATTAAAATTTATTTTGAAGAAAATGTTGAACGGAAGAATTTTAGCCTAGATCAAAAAGTCGTTAAACGAACCTTGTTATTGGAAATTCGGATATGCGAAAGTCGTATGGAATTAACAATCATAAAAACAACCAACACAATTGTTTTCATAAGTAACTGTTTATAACAAAACACAACAGCCACCTATTTCCAATGAAATTATGTTAAAAACAAAACTTGACAATTTATCGAACACTTGACGCGCAATCAATTTTTAGATTTTCTTTTGAGCTTTGTTGATTTGAGAACAACACTGACAATCAAAGTGATTATAAGCTGATCAACAAAGACATTTAAACTTTAACAATCAAAGGAAAATTCTATACGAATTGATCAATCAAACACCAAGTTCAACAAATTGCATATAGAATGTAAATTAGAGTGAGAGAGAGAGAGACAAGGATTTATTTAGGAAGTTCACCAATTATCCTTGCTATGGCTACGTCTCTCCCCAATTCTATTTTTGGAATTGAGAGAAATTTCTTACTTTGAAAAAAATTGATTATAAGAGAAGTGTTCCAAGAGCAAACCTACAAACCCTAATTGTTTGATGTCGATTCAATTTCTTCTCTAAGAGCTTCCAGTATTATCCACCGTCTCGCGCTACTCCTTTGCAAGATCTCAAATATTCACATCTTTCACTCGGCGAATCCCTTATTGTGAAGTCTTGAACAAAACCCCCAAATCTACCAAAGATTTTGGAGGACAAAACTCTAGGTTTTTCCGAATGAAACTCCCCATAATTATCAACCCGATATTCTCGGTTACACAAACCTAATTGGAGGTTATCAAACCTCATCTAGATGGCACTCCAACAAAAAGTGATTATGTGATGTTTGTTAGCGTGTATGCATAGGTTGGAGGTTGAAGGTGAAGAGCAATGGTGGTAAGTGATTATAGTTTCTTCAAGTTGAAATGATACATGTATGATGTATTTATAGTTGTGGAAATCTGGTGGCAAAGAAGGAAATTTCAGAATTAACATAGTTGAGAAAATCTGATCAAAGTAACTGGATATGCTGGCTTGAAACACAGATGTTTCGGCACATAGACTTAAAAACTTCAAAATATACCGATCTGAAATGAGCCATGTGCCGACACATGCAAAACATAAGCTACAAGCTTTAATAATGAAGCACATGTGCCGACCTGAAAATTATATGTAACCGGCAGATACTGTTATTTTTCATCACGTGCCGATCTCAAACAGGCTATGTACCGACCTATGCAAGACAGAGGCTACAACCTTTGATAACGCGCTACATGTTTTGTCCTGAAAAACGAATGTTCTGGAACAAGTTGTTATCTTTGTGTAGAAAATGATTTTTCATGTTTTCGACCAGTTTTAAACATGTTTGGAATGCTTCCTAATACCTCTAATGCAAGGGTGCACCAAACGACAGAGATATAGTCTAATATACAGAAATGCTATGTTTTCCTAGTTTTGACAACATATAAAACATTTAATGGTGAAGTTGCACTCACATACTCCCCCTTTTAATGATGGAAAAACTTACAATGTTGCATTTCATGTCTTTATTAAATTCTCCCTATGACTTTGTGCTTCCCAACTTCATCTTGCATATGCTTCTCCCCAATTGATAACATCAAAAAGAAATATAACAAACCGTGAGAAGTATCATAATTCAATGCAAATACCAAAATATCACACAAAGATGTTTTACAAAGAAGAGCATGAATTCACATATCCCCATATACGGAATGACACAAGATTGATAAATAACCAGCACAACACATTACCAATAAGTAATGCAATGCATGAATAATAATGAATGTTGTGCAAGAAAAAACTTCTTGAGTTGCTTCTTGAGCGTCACAATTACGTAAGACATCATAATGAAACTCCCCACGATGCACACACATGTGCCTAGCTTAGCAAAAATTTTATCACCATTCAATCCAAGATGAAAATACTGTCATAACATGTGACATAACTAACACAAGAACTGTATTTGCAAGATAACATACATACACTCAATTCATGTGCTAATGTAGAAAATAATAACAACAAACATGCTTGCACACCAAGAACATACACTTCAAATGATATAGATTTAACACACGAAGTCACTATAAACATATAAATTGAAAAACACATAATGGTTGTCAATTGAAATTTTCAGAAATGAACAATCATGAATTTTATAATTTTGAACATATCAAACATTTAAAATATAAACAACATGCAAAAAATAAAAGTCTTACTTTCAAGGAGAAATATGGAACAACATTACCTCAATTTTGATGGAACGAAAGATGCACACACATGATGTTAAATACTCAAACAAAGGTTAGAGAAAACATATAGAAGTTCATGGAACAAAGGTAATTTAAGCAACATTAGAGATATCAATAATCCCCAATTCCCACGTATATTGAAAAATGGTTCAGTTGCAAGAGGTTTTGTAAGAATATCGGCAAGTTGATTTTATTATCAACATGCTCGAATATAACATCTCCTTTTTCAACATGATCATGAAGGAAATGGTGACATGTCTCAATATGTTTAGTGTGAGAATGTAGCACCAGATTCTTGGTTAGATTAATTACACCAGTGTTGTCGCGCATGATAGAATACGAGAAAGTTTAATGTCAAAATCAAGTAATTGTTGGTTAAGCCATAAGATTTGAGCACAACAACTATCGATTGTCATGTATTTCGCCTCGATAGTTGACAAAGCTATGGAAACTTGCTTTTTACTATGCCAATTAACCAAGGAATTTGAAAACATGTGACAAGTTCCACTAGTATTTTTCCTATTTGACTTGCAACCGGAAAAATTGAAATCAGAGTAACCAACCAAGCTACAATCGCTTTCCTTGGAATACCAAAGCCCAAACTTAGAAGTACCAATGCTATATCTAATAATATGATTAACCTCTTTTAAGTGTGATTCCTTGGGACCCGATTAATATCTGACACACATGAAAATGCTAAACATAATATCGGGCCTAGATGTCATAAGATATAGAAGATATCCAATCATACCTATATATTTATTTATGTCTACATCCTTACCCTTTTCATATCTCTCTAAGTTGCCATTTGTTTCCATAGGAGTGCCAATTTTATTTGCATCGTCCATGCCAAATCGTTTTAGTAATTTGAGATAATACTTTGCTTGACACACATATGTTCCTTCCTTGAGTTGCTTTATTTGGAGTCCAAGAAAGTAATCCAACTCCCCCATGAGACTCATTTCAAGCTATCTGTGCATAAGCTTAGGAACTCCTTGACAAGTTGCATGTTAGTTGATCCAAAAATGATATCATCAACATAAATTTGAACAAGAAGATATGTTTTCCTTGACGTTTAATAGAGAGTTGTAACTACCTTCCCTCTTGAATATCCTTGGTCAAGCAAGTACTTTCTAAATCGCTCATACCATGCCTTAGGGGCTTGCTTGAGACCATAAAAAGCTCATTTTAGCTTGAAAACGTGATTAGGATACTCATGATTTTTAAAATCGGAAGTTTGTGAAACATACACCTTTTTATTTATGTACCCGTTAAGGAACACACTTTTCACATTCATTTGATATAATATGAAGTTCTTGGAACATGCTTATGCTAGTAAAAGGCGTATAGCCTCGAGTCAGGAAACCGAAGCATAAGTATCCTCATAATCAATGCCTTTCTCTTGGTTATACCCTTGAGCCACTAGTAGGGCCTTATTCCTAGTTATCACACCATGTTCATCGAATTTATTCCTAAAAACCCATATAGTGCCTATAACTTGATGATTTTGTGGACGAGAGACATGGTCTCAAATATCATTTCTTTCCAATTGTTTTAATTATTCTTGCATGGACATAAGCCAATGCTCATCAAGTAATGCATATTTAGCATTTTTAGGTTCAACTTCTGATATGTACACATGGTGATAACAAAAATTACTTATCTTAGAGCGCACTGTTACCCTATTTTGTGATGTCTCCAAGAATGTTGTGTATTGGATGATCCTTGGAGGTT